GGTGTGGGTGAAGCCACCAGTTCTCAGGCTCCTGATGTGGGTAGGTGAAGACCCTGCTTAATGGGCAGAGCAGTGTCAAATGTCAATAACCTGCCACTTCACAGCTGAAACAGTTGAAGTTAGACTTCAAGTATATACCCTGTTGTACTGTGGTAATGAGGGCCTATGCTGTTGAGATGGGCCCACACAAGTCTCTGCGGGGGAAAGGCACTCAAAGTGCGTGGATCCCTTATGCCTGTGCCTAGGCAAAGGAGCTGTGCCTACCTTGGGTTCCTGGCTTAGGGGAGCTGGCAGTTTATTTTTTCCTCTGTTTGTTAATTTTTTCACTCTCCAAGGCCGGGAGAGTGGCTCAAGGCATGTGACGGATCTTACTTCTGGCCCAGGGGACTCGGCAATTGCTGAAGCTGGTCCGGGACCCAGTGCAGAGCAGGGAGTGGGGAGGTAAATGGGAGAAAGGTTTTTCCCTAAGGGGGATGTTTTTGATTCACACGGTAGGCCGTACACACCTACTTACATTTTGCTCATTGAGGGCTGCTTCTTACTGGTTCTTGGTGGCTGAGTAGACTCTCTGGCTCTGGGTCTCTCCCAGTGTGGTAAACACACCTCCTGAGCACCACTGCTTTCCTGCCTCACAGCTCACCCATGAGCTGCTCAGGCTTGAAGGTCTCAGGCTCTCACCGGGTCAGGTCTGGCAACTCCTCGCTGCTTCTGAACCGTCTTTCCCTCCCCCTGCCACTCAGTTCAGTTCCTCAACTTTGCCTTAGATTTTCAGGGCTCCTAGATTGTCATATATAATCTATTCACTTGTTTTTTGGAGGTCTTTGTTGTAAGAGGGTCCCCTGGAAGCATCTGACTACTCCGCCATCTTGGCCCCGCCTTGCATCTGAGGTCTTAAAAGCTTGTGAGTGGCCATCTAAGATATATCTATTGGTCTCATCCCATTGGGAGCAAAGGAGAATGAAGACAAAGACACAAGGAAAATATTAGTCCAAAGGACTAATGTATCTCATGAACCATAGTCTCCACCAGTCCAAGCCTAGAGAACTAGATGGTGCCCGGTTACCACCACTGACTACTCTGACAGGGATCACATTAGAGGTTCCTGGACAGAGCGGGAGAAAAATGTAGAACGAAACTCAAATTCACAGACACACAAAAAAGACCCACTTACTGGTCTGACAGAGACTGGAGGAGCCCCCGAGACTATGGCCCCCAGACACCCTGCTAGCTCAGAACTGAAGCCACTTCCAAAGTCCACCTTTCAGCCAAAGATTAGACAGGGCTATAAAACAAACAATAACACATGTGAGGAACGTGCTTCTTAGATCAATCAAAAATACATGACCAAATGGGCAATACCTGCCCAAAAGCAAAGATGAGAAGTCAGGAAGGGACAGGAAAACTGGAAGAATGGACGTAGGTCACGCAGGGTGTAAAGGGAAGGTGCTGACACAATGTGGGGATTGCAATGGATGTCACAAAACAATTTGTGTATGAACTTTTTAATGATAAACTAATTTGCGCTGTAAACTTTCACCTAAAGTGTAATAAAATTTAAATTTAAAAGAAACAGGATTGCCAACCAAGAGTCTTAAAAAAAAATTGCTGATGAGTATTAAATATTTTCCAATATCTATTTACATAATGATATTATTTCATTTTAAATATCTTAATACAATAAATTATGTTAAAACACTAAAAAAAAAAGTGATCCATCGCACCGCAGCGCTTCCTTTCAGGCCCAGGCTCAGAGTGATGTCTTCTCTGACCCCCGGATGCCCTCCCCACCCTTGCAGTGGCACTGCTCTCCCCATCAGCTGTCTTGGCTCAGCCTGCCTGGCTGCCCTAGGCCCTAACTTTGTCCAGGGCCTCTGCCTGTCCCGCCCTGTGACTGAGCCTGGGAGGAGTGGCTGGGCTCTGGAGCCCCATTGGCCAAACCCTGCCTGCGTCATCGCACATGCCCCTGCCTCCCAGGCTGGCTGCCTGCCTACCTTGGGGACTAGAACAGGCCTGACCTGGCCTGGCCTGACAGGGTCAGGCCACCTGGGAGCCAAGGAAGGAGTTGGAGCTTAATAAGCTGTGCCTGGGCCACCTGGTACTGCTCTGTTCACCCTGCCTGCTCTTGGACCTGGGGCTCTGCACCCCCTCTCTTTAAGGGAAGTGGAGGGACAGCTTGCTTAGGGGGTGGGAGCGCCACCCTGGAGAAGCATAGCATTTCCTGTCTGACAGTTTCTCTTTGGGTCTCTCAGCTGGGCGTACCAGAGCCCTGCGGGCAGGGCTAGACTCCAGAATCCTAGAACCTGGGCTGGGGGACCTTGGAGGTGCCAGTTATGACCCCCTCCCCTCATGAGTGACAGATGAGGCTCAGGAAGGGAGGGGGCTTGCTCACGTTCACACAGTGCCTGAGGGACAGGGCTAGGATTTGAACTCGAGCCTGTCTCTAGCTGTCCCTCCACAAACCTTTAATGAGGTCCTACTGTGCCAGGCCATTCTAGGCACAAGCACTGGCATAGGAGCTTCTCAAAGGCAGGGATTGGGTCCAGTTTATCTTTATATTCTCAGTGCTTGACCCAGGGCCCAGTACAGAGGAGGTGCTCGGTGAATGAATGATTGAATGAATGAACAAATGCACGAATGAATGAAAGAATGAGGCGGGATCCTGCCTCCAGGCAGAGGGAGTCTACTGAGAAGGTAAGGACTCGTGTTTTACAGCACAGGAAATAAGAGGCTCATAGGGGTGGGAGCTGACTAGGTGAGAACCAGAACTCGGATGTCCTTACTGCTGGCCCAAGGCTTTTTCCACTCTCAGTTTCCCTAACTGTAAAATGGAGTCAACAGTCCTTGCCCTCTACCTTCCTCCTGAGGATCCGCCAAGGTGGTGGATGTGAATAGGCTGGTGAAGCAGGGGGCAGCATGTGTGTGGGGGGTTCCTTTGTGCATGTTCATAAGGCCCAGAAACCCTAAACAGTCTGCTCTCTCCCTTCTGCCTGCTTGACCTCTGCATCTTGCCTTCCCCCATTTCCCCAGCTCTCCCCAGGGCTTCTTTCTGGAAGGTTCTGTCCAGAATCCCTGGCAGGAGAGAGGCCAGGGAAGGAGTCTGTCTACCTCCTCCCTCTACCTGTTCCCATACCCAGACAGACAGCCACCCGCATAGGCACCTGTAGGCCCCCAGTGCGCAACCAGGCTGGAAATGCCAGCAGTGGTTACCATGGTGATGGGACCTGCTGCTTGGACCACAGTGGTCTGTGAGCCTGCAGGAGCCTGCAAACCAGGCAGCCTGGCACCTGGCAGGCCCCATCTGGACTGAGAGCTCCTCTCTTTCCCCTCAATGTCTGCACTGTGCCTGTACCCAAGGGGTCTTGGGGATGAGCTGCAACTCTGGGAGCCCACAACCAGTTCTGGGTCAAGCAGTCCTGGTTCAAATCCTGGTTCTACCATGTAGAGGGTCAGTGACTTTGAACAAGTCCCCTTGGAGTGCTTTGAATTTATTGAATTAGCCAAGGTAGCCTGTGGGGGGAATTGCCCAAGAATACAAATTCCCGCCACGAAAGCTGTCACTGCCCCATCCTACAGCTTTGGCAGGGTCCCCATGAGGTCACGGTGCTCTTTGCTGCTGAATTCAGGTCCAGGGCCCCGGACACCTTCTCATCTCAGCCGCTGGAGGCCCTACCGAGCAGTGTAGTGTGGTGGGGAGGAGCTGGGACTGCAGCTAGACCTTTGGGTTCAGAGCTGGGCTTTGCCACTTACTTCAGCCCCAGTTTCCCCATCTGTAAAATAAGCACAGTAATGAAACTAGCTCTGCAGTGTGGTTAAAAATGAATTAGTACATATAAAGTGCTTGCAAGAGTATTTGGTTCTTAAGAACCCATTGCTGTCGAGTCAATTCCGACTCATAGCGACCCTATAGTGTTCGTAAGAAGTGCTATATAAATGCAGCTGTAAGCATCACACAGCTGGTGTTGGCCATGAGTCCTGGAACCCATGTGCCTGTACTTCCTGTTGTTTTCCTCACACGTGCACGTGTACCCAGCTCTTATTCACAGCTTAACTAGGGAGACCAGGCTAGAGAGACGTGATGGCAGGATGGCTCCTCCTCCCCCATCCCAGACCCAAGGGACCGACAGGCCCTCCCCACCTCTTCTGGGAGTAAGACAGGCTGCTCCTGAGCAGAAATCCAACCTCTGAGTCTTGAGTTTGAGGATTTTCGTGCTGGTTCTCCAGCTGGCAGCTGTGTGACTCTGACTTGGATTGGCCATCTGGACAGTGACTGCCCAGAGCCCTCCAGATCAATGGAGTCAAGTGCTAAAGTCCGATTAGCACCCAACGGAGGCTCTGCTCCTGATGCCATCCAAGGAAGGGAGGGGCCCTGAGAAAGGGGACCTTTGGGGATGAAATAGGAGATGTATCCTGAAACACTTTATTGGCAATGACTCCTCAGGCTTAATCATTATAGGTCTCCCTGGTTGTCCTGGGTGGTGCAAATGGTTTGTGCTGGACTACTAACCAAAAGTTTGACTGTTCAAACCCACCCAGTGGCACTGCAGAAGAAAGCCCTGGCGATCTGCTTCCATAAGATTACAGCCATTGAAAACTGCATGGAGTGCAGTTCTACTCTGAAACACATGGGGTTGCCGTGAGTCAGAATTGACTCGATCACAACCAACAATAGTAACAACAGGCCTCCCTGCATGGAGAGGGGGAGTCTTTTAAGAATGAAGATAAATCTGAGGCAGAACTTTAAAAAGCTGGCCCACAAGCTGAAGCAGAGAGGACTATTCATCTCTCCCCTCCCCGTCCCTCAGGTCCAAGGTTGTGCTAATGTGGAGCTGCTGGCCAAAAGGAACTTGGGCATGAGTGCTGCCCAGACGAGGCCCCTGGGGTCTGGTGGGTGGTTCTGGGTGCTCTGTCCTCTCCCTCACCCAGTCCCTGAGGTCTTGGGGATGGGCAGACCCAGGACACGCCACAGCTAGTTGACCTCTCTGTCCCTGCCTGCTCCCTAGGGCTTCGCCTCTGTGTTCTCCAGCCGCTGGTCCCGGAAGTCAGCCTCTCGTGCAGAGGACACCGACAGCACCATGGCCGACGGCGAGGGGTATCGGAACCCCACGGAGGTGCAGATGAGCCAGGTGGTGTTGCCCTGCCACACTAACCAGCGCGGCGAGCTGAGCATCGGGCAGCTGCTCAAGTGGATTGACACCACGGCCTGCCTGTCTGGTGAGGCCACGCTTGGCCCAGCAGACCTCCCACCCTCTGGACCCCAGACCCAGAGTGGTGTTCTTGTTGGTTGCGGTCTAGTGGATTCTGACTCACAGTGACCCTATAGGACAGAGTAGAACTGCCCCATAAGGTTACTAGGCTGTAATCTTTATAGGAGCAGATTGCCAGGTCTTCTGTAGAGCCTCTGGGAGGATTCTAACCACTGACCTTTCGGTTTATAGTTGAGCACTTAACGATTGCACCACCAGGGCCTCTGAGGCCTCTGTTTTCAAGGCTGTCACTGTTGTCCCTGAGTGCCACATTGTTCCTCTTCCCTGCCTTTGCTCATGCTAGTCCACCTGCCTGAAATGTCCTCCCCAATTTCTCAATGCTCAGCTCAGGCTCACCCCTCTCCCCCGTAACGTGGCACAGCAATGAGGCCCCAGCTCCAACACAACGCAGCCTTCAATGTGGTTGCTTCGAGATTAGCTTGAAAGTGTCCTGAGCGAAGACCATGGCGTGTCTGCCTTATTATGCTCCCTGAGTTGAGCTTGATCGAGCTCATTCGTTCCTGTTGTTGCACCAGCATTCACCAGCCCACAGGGAGGTCACTGGGGACAGTATGCCCCGCCTTGACCGGCGGCAGCACCGCCACAGCCCAAGGGAGTGAAGCGGCGGAGGCGGGGAGGGTGGGGGAGCGGTCGCGCGGTGGGAGGGGCGGCCCGGCCCCTCGACACCAGCGCGCCCCCTCGCGGAGGGCCCCCGCGGGGGTGGACGCCAGGAGTGGGGAGAGCGCGGCGACGGTCGTTCGCACTTGGCCCGGGGATTCGGCGAGCGCTGCTGAGGGGAAGGGGAGGCTGTAACGCCCGGGGACGGGGCGCGAACCACCGCCCTCGCGGTCCTTCCCAGCCGTCGCGGAGCCGGTGGCGGCGCGCCGCCGCGGTGGAAATGTGGCCGGCGGCGGGGGGAGGACGGCGGAGGGAGGACGGCGGAGGGGTCGGGACGAACGGCGGAGCGGGAAAGATCCGCCGGACCTCCCGGCCGACTGCGCGGACCCCACTCCTTTACCTCTTGACTATTTCACGCCCTCTTGAACTGTCTTCAAAGTTCTTTTCAACTTTCCTTTAGTTGCTTGTTGACGATTGATCTTGTGTTGGTTCTTAGCCTTAGATGGAGTTTACCACCCGCTTTGGGCTGCATTCTCAAGCCACCCGACTCTGGGAAGAGCCCCCCCGGCCTGCTGCCGGCCTCACACTGTCCTCACACTGTCCATAGGCTTCATCAGGACTTGGGCCCCCAACAAAAAGGGGGGTGGATGGACAAGTGACCCGACTGCCCCCCAGCACTACTGATGGGTCTGGGAAAGGAAGGAGCAGTGTGGCTGTGTAAGAACAGACTACAGGCTCGGACCTGGCCTGGGGGCAGGGGAGGGTCCCCACAGGGACTGAGGCACCTGAGTGGATTCTGAAGGGGGAGAATGACTCGGCCAAGGGGACGAAGGCGGTGAAGTTGGCCGGGCAGAGGTACAGGCGCATGCCCAGGTGGGAAGTAGGGAACCGCATGGCCTGATCATTCATTCAACAGCTATTTATTGTTTAATGTATGTCAGGTGGAGCCCTGGTAGTGCAGTGATTAAGAGCTGCGCTGCTAACCAAAAGGTGAGCAGTTCGAATCCACCAGCTGCTCCTTGGAAACCTTATGGGGCAGTTCTACCATGTTGCTATAAGTTGGAATAGACTTGACAGTAACAGATTTGGTTTTGGTTTTTTATGTGCCAGACTGAGCCCTGGTAGCACAGTAATGATGCTAACCAAAAGGTCGGCAGTTCAAATCCACCAGCTGCTCCCTGGAAACTTCATGGGGTAGTTTGTCTCTGTCCTATAGGGTCGCTATGAGTTGACTCGACCGCAGTGGGTATGTGCTAGCCACTGTTCCAGGGACTAGGGTACAACAGTGACCAAGACAGGCAACAGTCCTTGATCTCATGTGACTTACAGTCTAGCCGAACAGAGAGACAATAGATAAACAAAACCTAGATATATAAAATAAGATCAGGGCACAGTAACTGAGGTGGGTGAGGGGGGCATCCCTTCAGCTCAGGTCGTCAGAGAAGCATCTCAAGGTGGGAGCACAGCTTCCAGGTAGGCCGCTAACATATGGCTTTCTTCCCCCGGTGCCAGCGGAGAGGCACGCTGGCTGCCCCTGCGTCACAGCCTCGATGGACGACATCTATTTTGAGCACACCATCAGGTAAGTGGGCCTCACGATCCTCTGGTCTCCCCACAGTGAGCCCAGTGCCTGCTGCCCCATATCCCTGCCTGGTCAGCCTGTGTGCTGCCCAGAACCTGACTGGATTGAGCAAGAGCCTGTGGAGTCAGGGTAGCCTCTGGAGAAGTAATGACCCACCTACAGGGGCTGGAACAGCAGTGGGCTAGGAGCTGGCCTGCTGCCAGGTGCTCTGGGGTGGGTTCCCTTGGCCAGGGTGGGGCCAAGGAAAGGGCTTCAGGTTTGGAGTTAGACATTGCTGAGATAGCGACATGGTGTGCTGTGTAACTGTGGGGAAATCAGCCTCTCTCTCTGGGCCTTAATTTTCTTATCTGCAAAACGAAAGGGATTAGACTTAACCAGTGAATGCCTTTTTAGCTCCCTCTCCATGGGTCTCTGGACTGTAGGAAGGCCCCTAGAGGAGGATCCTGGGCAAAACCTGAGCTAGAAGTTTGGACCATTGAACCTTTGCTTACATACCCCTAGGGATGAGGAGCTCACTACCTCCTAAGGTAAACCTTTTTTTTTTTTTAGTGGCTCTACTGGTTAGAAAGCTGTTTACACACTGTGCTGAGCTTTGTCTCCCTATTGTATTGCTCACCAGTCCTCATCCTGCTTCTGGGACCCAGGGAGCATGCCGAGCCCTCACCCTGGACAGGTTGCGAGGGCAGAATGGTGCTTTATCTCCAGGTCTGCTCCTAAACTTGCCATCAGTACTTAGGACATCAAGTGCCAAAGGCTTATTCAGGACAAACTGGGTACCCAGTGTGTCACAATTAAGCAAAAAGTTTGGCCAGCCCCTGTATTCATTTATTCATTACTTATTCATATGAAAACTACTACTTAATATTAGTTGAGCACATCCTCTAGACCAGGCCCCATGCTGGGTTTTGGGCACACTAAGTTAACCAGAACACAGCCTGTTCCTCAGGAGCTCCCAGTCTGCGGTGGGGCAGGCAGTAATTTCAACTCAGAGTGATAAATTTCATGCTAATAATGATCTCTGACCTCTGACCTCTGACCTCTGACATGTGAGTGCTTTGTAATACATTCTAAAAAAGACTTCAGATTTTAGAATAGTTTTAGATTTACAGAAAGGTTGTGAAGATAATACAGAGAGTTCCCATGTACCCTACACCCAGTTCCCCTCTGATTAACAGCTTACATTAGTATAGCATATTTGTCACAGTGAACCAGTATTGATACTTTATTTGTAGTGATTTTTAAAATCCATTAACTTGTTCAGTTATCAGAACAACCCTATGAGGTTATGGCTATTGGTATCTTCATTTTACAGATGAGGAAACTGAGGCACAGAGAAGTGAAATAACTAGCTTAAGGTCACACAGCTAATAGGTGAAGGATTCAGGATGCACTACGAGGCACAGAGAAGTGAAATAACTAGCTTAAGGTCACACAGCTAATAGGTGAAGGATTCAGGATGCACTACCAGGTGGGTAGCTGACCCTAGAGCCCTTGCTCTGTATCTCTTATATGTCTGGGGATGAGTGCAGTGGCACAGAGGCTAGTCAAGGGAGGCTGCCTGGAGGAAGTGTCTGAGCTGGCTCCAGCACTGTCAGCACTGTAAGTAGTGACTCTCTGAAGGCCAGCAGAGCCGTGTCTGGCCAGCTTTGGGTCCCTGCTGCCAGCACAGGCTCTGGTACTTGGAGGAGCTCAGGGTAGAGAGGGGTGGGGGTGTGTGCGTAATGGATGGACTTAACACAGGACCGAGTAGGATGAAGGTGAGTCTGGGGAGAGCAGGTGCAGACACAGGCGAAAGCTACAGAGGATCCTGGGAAAGTGGGCAAGGACCTGGAGCGTGGCCTGTGATCAGGAAAGCCTGACTGTACCTGAGGAAAGCAGGGGAGAGTTACTTTGTTTGTTTTTGCTTTTGCTGTTTAAAATATTTCAAAACATATCTCTAAGAGGTAAGGACTCTTTTTTAACATAACTTCAACACCATTACCACATCTAAGAAAAATTAATAATTCCTCATTAGCATCAAATTTCCAGTCAATGTTCAAATGCCTGCACCTGTCTCATGAATTTTTTTCCTTGAGTATAAAGGGATTATTTATTCTTTTATTTTTAAAGTATTGTGTTTTAGGAGAAAGTTTACACAGCAAATTAGGTTCCCATTTAACAATTTTTATACAGATTGTTCCATGACATTGGTTACAATTTTCACAATGTGTCAGCGTTCCTATTATTTCCTTTCTGTTTGTTCTAGCTGTTATTGATCTAGCTTCTCTTGTTCTCCTTGCCTTCTCATCTTTGCTTTTGGGTAAATGCTGACCATTGGTCTCATATAGTTGGTTGTTTTAAGGGAGAAAATTACTCATGGGTGATATTGTTTATTTTATAAACCAATCAATTATTTGGTTGAAAGGTGACCTCTGGGATTGGCTTCAGATTCAACTTCAAAGAGTATTGTAGGGTGATAGTCTCGGGGGTTCCTGTAGTCTCTATTGGTCCAGTAGATGTGGCCTTCTTTAGGAATTTGAATTTTGTTGTACATTTTTCTCCCATTCTATCCGGGACCTTCTGTTGTGTCCCTGGTCAGAACAGTTGATAGTGGTAGCTGGGCACCATCTAGTTCTTCTGGTCTCAGTTTAGAGGAGGCCGTGGTTTGTGTGGGCTATTAATCCTGTGGACCAGTTTCTTTTTTGAGTCTTTGGTTTCCTTCATCCTCTTTTGCTCATGAATTTTTGTTTCATGTTACTTTTTTTTTTTTCCTTTCCAAGTCAGGATCCAAATAAGGTTGCAATTGGTTGACATGTCTCTTAAGTCTTTTTAAAAATTGATAGGTTCCCCTTCTCCCCAGCTCCATCCCTCTGTCTTCTTTTTGCTTGAAATTTATTTGTTGAGGAAACCTGTTCGTTTGCCCCCTGGAGTTCTCCATCCTCTGGATTTTGTTATTGGCATTGTTGTGGTGTCATTTAACATGTCCTTCTGTCCCCTAAGAATAAACTGGTCCTGGGGAAGGGCTTGAACAGGGATCAGGTTTGTGTTTGTGGAGCTGCCTCTCTGTGGTGTGGAGAGCACCTGGAAGGGTGTTGGGGAACTGGCGACTCAGGGTGGGAGGTACATGTGAGCAGGCTGGGCAGTGACCCTGGAGAAGGGAGCCAGTGAGATGGCTGTGGGGATGGAGAGGGATAGTCAGGAAGGAAGGGAAACTCTGAAGTCCAAATGGATGGTTGGCTTGGGAGAGCTAGAGAGGAAGAAGAGTTGCAAGTTCTTTCTTATTTTTTTTAGTACTGCAGAAAATAGGCTTTTTTAAATTTTATTTTGGGGGCTGTCTTAGTTATCTAGTGCAGCTATAACAGAAGTACCACAAATGGGTGGCCTTAACAAACAGAAATTTATTCTCTGACAGTCTAGGAGGCTAGAAGTCCGAATTCAGGGCCCCAGCTCCAGGGGAAGGTTTCTCTCTCTGTCAGCTCTGGAGGAAGGTCCGTGTCATCAATCTTCCCCTGGTCTAGGAGCGTGTCAGCGCAAAGCCCCCGGGTCCAAAGGACACACTCTACTCCTGGCGCTACTTTCTTGGTGGTGTGAGGTCCCCCTGTCTCTCTGCTGGCTTCTCCCTTTTATATCTCGAAAGAGACTGACTTAAAGCACAACCTAATCTTGTAGATTGAGTCCTGGCTCATTAACATAACTGCCTCTAATCCTGCCTCATTAACATCATAGAGGTAGGATTTACAACACATAGGAAAATCACATCAGATCACAAAATGGTGGACAACCACACAATACTGGGAATCATGGCCTAGCCAAGGTGACACACATTTTTGGGGGACACAATTCAATCCATAACAGGGACCATAGAAGTTTTTCCTATCTTTTTATCATGAAAAGTTTCAAACATATAGAAAAATTGAATACTGCAATGATCATCACCACTGAGACTCAATGTCATGGACTGAATTATGTCCCCCCAAAAATGTGTGTATCAATTTGGCTGGGCCATGATTCCCAGAATTGTGGGTTTGGCCTCCATTTTGTGATTGTAATTTTATGTTAAAGAGGATTAGGGTGGGATTATAACACCACCTTTACCCAGGTCACATCCCTGATTCAGTGTAAAGGGAGTTTCCCTGGGGTGTGGCCTGCACCACCTTTTATCTCTCAAGCGAAAAAAGGAAAGGGAAGCAAGCAGAGTGTTGGGGACCTCATACCATCAAGAAAGCAGTGCTGGGAGCAGAGGAGGTCCTTTGGACCGGAGTCCCTGCGCAGAGAAGCTCCTAGTTTGGGGGAACACTGAAGAGAAGAAGGCCGACAGAGAGAAAAAGGCTTCCCTTGGAGCTGATGCCCTGAATTTGGACTTTTAGCCTACTCTGACTGTGAGGAAATAAACTTCTCTTCGTTAAAACCATCCACTTGTGGTATTTCTGTTATAGCAGCACTAGATGACTAACACACTCAATAATAAACATTTTACTGAATTTATCTATGGTTAGGTGCTCGGCTGCTAACCAAAAGTTTGATTGTTTGAACTCACCCAGCAGCTCCGTGGGAGAAAGTCTGGCGATCTGCTCCCATAAAGATTCCAAAAAACTTGTTGCCTTTGAGTCAATTCCGACTCAGAGATTACAGCCTAGGAAACCCTATGGGGCAGTCCTACTCTGTCACATGAGGTCGCTATGAGTTTAAATGGACTTGACGGCACCCAACAACATCTATAGGTATCCATTTGTGTGTGGATAAATAAATACATTGGGAGGATGACACAGGACCAGGCAGTGTTTTGTTATGTTGTACCTCGGGTTCCTATGAGTCAGAACCGACTCCATAGCACCTAACAACAACATACTTTTTTCACCCTGAACTACTTAAAAGTAAGTTGCAGATGGCATGATACTTCATCCTTCCACATATCAGCATGCATCTCCTAAAAATGATGGTGCCCTACATGGGGGTTGGTACTCATAAGAAATTTAACAGAAATTGACAAATCCTCGGCAAATGTGAGCTCTTGTTACTTATCAACTCCTGCTGTGGGCGAGGCCTGGCTCCCCAGCTCAGCACAGATTCTCTCACTTGTTCCTCAGAACCACAGTCAGTAGTCATGCATTCTCCCTACTTAACAGACAAGGAAATAGACTCAGAGAGGCAGTGACTCACCCAGCGTCACACAGCTTGCTAGTATTACAGTCAAGGTAGAGCTTGACTGAAATCCAGGCGTGCTCCTTGACCAACAGGCCCCTAGGAAGGGACCTTTCCCAGGCTTGAGGACGGGGCCAGGTTGGGGCTACCTCTGTGGCTTTCTTATCAAGACCAAGGTGAACCGGGCCTTCAGGCTAATAGGCTATACAGACTGCTCGGTTTCCCTGGACCTCTGATTCTCTTTCTTTGCAGAGAACATTTTGTTATTTGAAGAAGAAGTCGGCACCGTGTTCTCTGTATTACTGAGCCAAGGCACGGAGAGGAGAAAGGACTTGCTCAAGGTCACATAATGGTTGGATAGGGGCCAGCTCCCCAGCCTCCAGCCACCTCCCCCACCGTCCATTAGTTGGGCCCCCTCTGTTGCCTTGTTAGGCACAGGGCAGGCTAGCTGGCTCCCCTGGAGATGCTGATTGTTCATCTGGACTTGGGAACCATTCCAGAGGGACAGGCTGCAGCTAGAAAGAGCGGGGCTGGTGAAGTCAACTGACCTGGTCTAGAATCCAGGCTCTGCTACTTTTTGCGGGGTGACCTTGGGCAAATGACTTAACCTCTCTGATGCTTAATACATCCCTAGCCCACCTACCATGCTTATTTTGAGGCCCAAATAAGGTAGTGCACAGTGCCTGGCACATAGTAGGTGTCTTAGGTATCTAATGCTGCTATAACAGAAATACCACAAGTGGGTATCTTCAACAAAGAAAAATTTATTTTCTCACAGTCTAGTAGGCTGGAAGTCCAAATTTAGGGCATCAGCTCCAGGGGAAGACTTTCTCTCTCTGTCAGCTCTGGAGGAAGGTCCTTGTCATCAATCTTCCCCTGGACTAGGAGCTTCTCTGTGCAAGAACCCCACGTCCAAAGGACGCGCTCTGCTCCCGGTGCTGCTTTCTTGGTGGTATGAGGTCCTCGACTCTATACTCATTTTCCTTTCCTTTCATCTCTTGTAAGATAAAAGGTAGTGCAGGCCACACCCCAGGGAAACTCCCTTTACATTGGATCAGGTAAGTCACCTTAGTAAGGGTGTTATACAGTCCCACCCTAAACCTCTTTAATATAAGGTTACAATCACAAAACGGAGGACAACCAACGGGGAATCATGGCCCAGCCAAATTGATACACACATGGTTTGAGGGACATAGTTCAATCCATGACAGCAGGCATTCTTTAAATGTTCCCATCTCCTCTCCCTACCCTTTCTGATAGCCCCTTACACTTCATAAGCATTCCGTAAATGTGGAATTCATTAATTCAGCCAGCCATTATTAATTGAGGACCTACCCTGTGCCATGTGTTAGGCCTTAAAGAGTCAATGGCGAGCAAAACAGACGCGACCCTTGTCCCAGAGGCACTTAAGGATTGTGAGGGAAACAGAGGTCAGGCTGCTGGGAGAAGTGTTAGGAGGGTAAGCCTTACAGGGCTACTAGAGCACACGGTTGGGGTCAGACCCAGGCAGGGAGGACTTCCCTGAGGAGGTGACCACTGAGCCAAGAGCAAAAAGAAGCTTAAGCATTAACTGGACAGAGGGGAGCAGGGAAAAAAGGGAAGTGGATAAAATCATGCCACTCTTTTCAGCCTCAGCTTCCCCACCTGTGGAATGAGATGCTGACACAATCCTTCCGGCTAGCTTTGAGGCCTCAGTGACGTCGCAGATGTGAATCTGCTCTGCAGGCCACAGAGTTCTCCTGCCAGTTCCCCCTGTCAGAGGCCCCGCACACATCTGAGGCCCCTGATCCTCCCGCTGTGCACTCTGCAAGGCTCACGTCCTGCTTTTCTCTCCCCAGTGTTGGACAAGTGGTGAATATCAAGGCAAAGGTGAACCGGGCCTTCAACTCCAGCATGGAGGTGTGTGGGGCTGAGTGTGTATGTGTGTGCGTGTGTGTGTATTTTCTGCCTTTTCTTCAGCCCACGGGCACTCACACTCACAGAGCCCAGGCTGAGGCAGCTGAGTTCTGAAATAACGGGCAGGGTTGGGAGGATCCTAAGGAACATCGTATCTAACACCCACACACAGAAGGGAAAACTGAGGCCCGGAAAGGGGAAGGTACTTGCCTTAGATCACCAAGCCACATAGATTCCAATGTGGGATCTGGCTTCCAGCCTCCTGACTCTTCCCCTAGGCCTCATGCCCCCTCCCCCCCTTCAGCAGCCAGATGATCCCAGGAATAGAAGGAAGACAGCCTCTGTGGCTGACGCTGGAGGCAGCAGGGCCGGAGCAAAGACAGCACAGGACTTCAGTTCTGGCCTATTAGCTGACCTCTCCTGGCCTCTGTTTCCTCCTCTCTAAAATGGAAAAATGATTCCTATGTTGCAGGTGTAATGGGAGGACTACGTGAGGATGCGCAGGGCTCTATGAACATGGTGGGAGGGGCTCTAGTGGACTTCAGGCCCAGGCAGCTTGACCCAGCCAGGCCACTGGTTCCTGAGGAAAGCAGAGTCCTGACTGTGCCTCCAGGGGCACCATAAATGTCCATGTGCCCCTTGGGGCAATGACGGATCCATCCTTTTAATTTAGCTAACACTTTGCCTGTTTCGAAGTTCCTGGTTAGCACAAACGGTTAAGCACTCAGCTACTAACCGAAAGGTTGACTGTTTAAATCCACCCAGGGGCACTTCGAAAGAAAGTCCTGGCCATCTGCTTCTAAAAGATCATAGCCATTGAAAACCCTATGGAGCGTAGTTCTACTCTGAAACATGTGGGGCCACCGTGAGTTGGAATCGGCTTGACAGCAACTGATTTGCCTATTTTAAAAGCCCTTTCATAGACACGTTCTCATTTTAATCCTCTCAATAACCCTGTGTGAGTAGGCATGATTACCTCCATTTTACAGATAAGGAAATTGAGGCCCAGAGAAGGGAAGTGACTTGCCCAGGGTTTCCCAGAGAGCCGGTTGGCGGAACCAGAACCTACCCTGGATCTCCTAGACTCAACGGTTGAGACAGAAATACCCGTGGCCTGGCCTGGGAGGATACTTCCTGCCCCAGTGAGCTTTGGGACCTTGGCTGGTGAGCTCTTCCTTCCTCCTCACCTCCCATGTACTCTTTCTCTCCAGGTGGGTATTCAGGTGGTTTCCGAGGACCTGTGCTCTGAGAAGCAATGGAGTGTGTGCAAAGCCTTGGCCACCTTTGTGGCCCACCGGGAGCTCTCCAAGGTAGGCGGTGGCACCTGGCAGCTGGATGCATCTTGGCAACCTTGGTGTCTGCCCTTTGGTGCTTGCATTGAGACAGAGGGCCTAGACCAGGGGAGGGAGGCTGGGGGTCGAGCAGAGGGGCTGAAGAGGGGGCACAGCTGGGAATCCACAGTCCCCAGAGACAGGCCCACCCCTCCGCAATCTGACCCCAGCAGCCTTCCCTCTCTGCTTTCCCCCACCTATCACCGCAAATCCCTTATGAGAATTCTTCAGTCTCACAACCCCTACATCCTCTGTGAATTGACTGGAGGGACGTTTGAAGGACGAATATGATATATTAGGTCAACACAGAAGCAGGGATGGAATGGAGGGGAAGGAGGAGACTTGTAAGCAACCAGCAGCCTCAGGCATCAGATGGGGATGGGGGGAGACAGGTCCTGTGCTCTTTCAGGACACTTGTCCTGAGCCCCTTCTACCCTATCTGCTGGCCAAAAGGTGAAGCTGAAGCAGACCACACCTCGGACAGAGGAGGAGAAGACCGAGCATAGCGTGGCAGCAGAGCGCCGGCGCATGCGGCTGGTCTATGCGGACACCATCAAGGACCTCCTGGCCAACTTCCCTATTCAGGATGGTGAGCGGCTGCTGGCTGTGGGTGGAAGGGCAGCTGGCACCCTGCATGCCCCCCTCCACTTTAGGCCCTCACTGGGTGGAGGGAGGGAAGGGGTCTACTTGAAATGTCCAGCCACTGGTGACCTCAGGCCTGCCTGGCCCTTTTAGCTTCAAGGTCCCTGAGAAGGGAAGTTAGCACATACTGAGAGTCCTGTGTTATGAACAAAATACACTTAAGTTTCTAGAAGCCACAGTATTTGGGAAGGTAGTATTGAGCCCGGCCTTGGAGACTCAGTAGGATTTAAAACAATACATATATACATGTATTAAAAAAGTATAGAGTGAAAAGCAAGACTCCCTCCTACCCCAGAACCCGGGCACCCTCCCCAGAGGCAACTACTGTTACCGGTTTTGGGTGTCTTTCCAGAAGCATCTTCTGCATATTTAAGCATATGTATGTATTACTTTGTTGTTGTTGTGTGCTGTCGGGTCATTTCTGACTCATAGCGATTGTATATGACAGAGTAGAACTGCCCCATAGGATTTCCTAGGCTGTAATCTCTACAGAAGCAGATTGCCAGGTCTTTGGTTTGAACCACCCACCTTTTGGTTAGCAGCTGAGTGCTTAACCATTGTGCAACCCAAGGCTCCTTAACCCCCTCTTTTTACCTAAATAGGAACATACAGTACATACTGTCTGTCTCTTGCTTCCCCCCCCCACCTTAAAAATGTATCTTGGAGATTGTTCCATATTAGTACACAAAGATCTACTTTGGAGTGGGTAGGCTTTGACAGGTAGAGAGATGCGGAAGGCATTCCTGATGGGGGCACAGTGAGCGAATGCCCAGAGGGCTGACCTTGGGTTGTTTACCAGTCTCCAGAATGTTAGAATGCTGGGTCCTTCCTGGAAACCAACAGGAGGCAATTTAAGGACACATTAAAGGTAGCTCAGCTTCCCAGAGTGGGGAGTGAGCAGATGGAACGCGCTGACCCCAGTGAAAGCGGCTCGCTGCACTCTGAATTCGTGTGCCTATTTATGCTGGGGCCGGAGGCCCTAGCTGTGCTGCCCAGCTCCCTCGATCCTTGTTGAGGCCTCCTTGGGTCCACCCATTCCACTGCAGCCTCCTGGTCACTCTCTCTTGACAGCCCTCCTGCAGCTCCCTGACCCCTCAGCCTGGCACCTGGGGCCCTCCACTGACCGCTCAACCTCTTCTGTGCCGTCCCTTTCCTTGCCCTCAAGTCCAGCTAAACCAAAGGCCTCATTGCTCCCTGGGCCCAGGCCTTGGCTCAGGTCATCCTCAACCTTCCCTCCTGTGGCATTGCTGAGTGGCCCGCAAGCTAAGTGAAATGCCACCTTTGTGATAGGCCCTTCCTGGTGACGTCTCTCTGCCTGGGAGACGAATGGGCTGGGTGGGGGGGTCAACGTCTGCTGCCTTGACCCTCAAGGCCCTGTCCACTGTCTGGCCTCTCCTGCTGAGGATATTCTAACGCCATTGCCGCCAGGGACAGGGCAGCTTCAGGGCGGAGGTGGGGAGAAGAGAACTATCCTTTTTGAGAGCGTGTCTACTGCACTTTATAACTGTGATCATATTTCATCTTCAAATAGTCCTAGTGGGTTGGGTTTGACATCCACCTTTTACAGATGAGGAAATTGAGGTTCAGAGAGATTACTGGTCTTGCCCAAGGTCACACAGCCACTATGAGGTGGAGCTGTGTTTCAGGCCCAGATGTGTCTTGTCTCCAAAGCTGTTGTCTTGTCCACTGCCCTGTGACAGGCTCATCTCTCTCATCCCCGTTTCCCCCATTTGTCATCCAGGACCAGCCCCAGCCTTATGCACACTTGTTGTTGTTAGCTGCCATGGAGTTGGCCCCTAACACATGACAACTCCATGTGTATGCACACTTAAACCAAAAAAAAAAAAAAAAAAAAA